CGGCCGCGGGTTGCCATGGCTCAGGATTCGTCTGCCAAGAGGCAGAAACTTGATGCAGTGCCTGTGTCAGGTGTCGCTGCTGCATATGATAGAGTCCTGGCCGATGCTACTGCAGCGTCCACAGGAGTATACAGTGGGCGGCTGCCTTGGGAAGTGGGATGCTTCAGGGATATTTTCAAGGGGTCAGCCAGCACAATGACTGGGCCGACTGCAAAAGCTTTGCTCATCAAAGAGGTCAGCCTGCCAGGCGACACACCGGAGGAATCTGCTGTTAGGACCACTCCAGATGGGCATGTGAGGCACCCTATTTTCAGTCAGGTGCTCAAGAAGGCGCCGAAGAGTTTGTTGGGGACAAGAAGTTCAACCGAGCGGGAAGCTGTTCTGCGACGGTGGATTCTTGTCCTGAGCCATAATTTGGAGGGCTCTGCTGTCGGGCGATATTTGGAATCAGACCCAAGCAATGGAATTTCGATAGTCAGTGATGCTCTTGGTGGCAAGAGTACCAGCACAATTTTGAAGCGAGTTCGATTTTGTGCACGACTCATTGCATGGGGCGACAAGCATGGGTATTTGATTTTTCCATTGAGAGCCAACATCATTGTCGAGTTCATGCGTGTTTTGGACAAACCAAGTCAACAGGGAGAGTGCATGGAGACAGTGAATTTCTTGATCCACATCATGGGTGTGGATAGCCAGCAGAATCTGGCCCGTGACCCACTTCTTCAAGGCCTGGTCCGGGGTGCTCAGTTTTCCGAGCATGAGCGCAAGCAATCGAGAGTTTTATCTGTGAAAGAGATTGAAGCTCTTGAAGAAGCTCTGGCGGGGCATTCACTTAACAAGATTGATCGCTTCGCTGTGGGAGTTTTCTTGTTCCAAGTTTACAGCCGGGCAAGAGTTTCAGATATTCGGAGCATCACCAAGTTCGAAGTCGACATGATCGGGAGCCAGGGCTATCTTGAAGCAAGAACAACTGATCATAAAAATCGACGCAAGGGCGCAGGCCTGGGCATGAGCTTGTGTCTGGTCGCTCCTGCAAATGGTCTGGGAAAGAAACCCTGGGCCCTGTCGTTCTTGGAAGCAGCGCGAGATGTAGGTATCGATTTGGAGAAGGGACATCGAGGACCCCTTCTTCCGAGGCTTTCCTTCAACCACGAGTGGACAAACTCTGCAGTCAGTGCCTCAGAGACGACGGCATGGCTCAACAGGATTCTTGAGGTCCTTGTGCCAGGCGGTTGCGTCGAGGGGCTGACGTCACATGGAATGAAGGCCACAACTCTTAGTTGGTTAGCCAAGGGTGGATGGTCAGAGCCCACACGACTCATTTTAGGGCACCATTCGCTGGGGTCCCGTCGGACCCTTGAGAGTTATTCTCGAGACGTACAGGCTCAGCCTCTTAGAGAGTTAGAAGACTGCCTACAGATGATCAAGGCTGGTTCATTCTTACCGGATGCCACACGGTCTGGAATGATGCTCACAAATGCCAAGGCGACATTACCACCCGAGCCGCCTTCCTTAGAAGAAGCTCGTCCTTTCATCAGCTTTCAGGCGAGTTCGGGTGACCCTGGAGGACACCAGCGCTCCAACGATGAGTTTGGACCTGATTGGGGTCAGGATCAAGAAGAGGTTGAGTTCTCAGAGGTCGCTGCAGACTCAGGCTTTGCAAGTGGTCTTGGGTCATGGAGCGAGTGCGACCAACCGTTGAGTGAGGAAGGCTTCAGACCTGAGTTGGGTGCAGCACCGGGCCAGCCGTCTGCCGCATTAAACGACCCGGAGGACTCCAGCGAGTCGGACAGCTCAGGCGAGGATACAGCCGACGACGAGGATCGCAAGTACGAGGTCCTCTCATCTGCACCCGAGATCGAGAAGTTGGCCCCTCAGGTTGAGTT